TTATTCGGCGTCACCTAAAAACTTCCTTTTATATGATTTTCTTGCAAAGGCTTCAAAAGGATGGTCCCTTTGAAGACTCCAGCAGTAATCCGCCATCATATGAGTGTCCCATCTCCCCTGATACCTCTCTTCCATCGTTTTGATATCTTGGTGGAAGCGTTTTCTTTGTTCCTCACTGAGGTCACCAAGATTTTCTGGGAAACGGTCTAAGTAGCTGTGGAGGTAACGAATTTTAATACTCATATGACAACCGTTTTTGTTGAAATTGTTGAGCATTTCTTCCACTAGATCCCGGTAATTTTCCGATTCATTGCTTCCAAGGAAATTTTCCATAACTTTCACAAAAGAGCACCATGCATTACACTCAATTTCAGTTATCGATTGTGTAAGATGCGAATATTTTATAAGCTGTCGTATCTTAGGCCCATCAAATATTCCGGCTTTCAATTTTTCTTCACAAAGTGCAGGGAATTGGCTGGACAAGTAATCAAAAAAAAGATTTTGTATAGCCACCTTGTTGGCCCAGGAGAAAGTTAACCATCTTAAAATCAACACAGATCGCCCACTCATGTTGGTCATACTTGATGTTTTTTAGCACCAGCGATATTGTTTTATATTCTTGTTTCAATTTTATAGAATGTCCAATTGGTGTACTTCTATATTTGTTGCCATTATGTAGAAGAACACGCTTTAAACTTCATTTGGAACTGCGGATAAAAAAACGCCAGTGATCTGGTGTATACTCCGATACACCCAGTTTTTCTAACAGTCGTTCAATATTATTACAAAAAACCATATCATCTTGCTGAGAAAAAGAAGACGAAAGATCTTTTTCTTTATTACGGTAGTATGTAATTTTGGTGTCTGGGTGAATAAGTTTATTTTCCTTTAGTCTTGAAGCAAGCAACTCGAAAGAATCCTTTGGAAGGTTCAAATCTCTAATAAGATCGCTTAGCTCTTTCTGAGTGAAGCGCTCAGGACGTGTTGAATCTCCTTCAAAATCACTGTCGTGTTCTTCAACTCTATAAGTCTGTAGTTCGTCAGATAACGTTTCGACGTTTTCCTCTGGTAACGTAGGTAGGCTACTAAATATTGGAATGGGTATCTGGTCAAGCTGATGTGGAATTGGTCTTAATGCTGAATCCAGGTTAGGATATGTCCACTTATGTCGATTGTTACGATTAATGCCCTTTATATTCACAAGACAGAAATAGCAATCGTCAAAATGATTTTTTGGTTCCCTCCATACCATTGGAACACCAAACTTCAAACATTTTTGATGTCCTTTCGTCCACTGTCGCCATTTTTCAAGACAAGTTTTGCACACTACATGTGGAGCCCAGGATTCATCTTGGTCTCCTAAATGAACACCAAAATAGGCTTGATATGCCCTTTTTATAAAATCACAAACTGGTTTGCTACTTTCCTTTACAATGTATTAGCCACATATGTAGCAAAAAACGGTCGAGTTATTCATACAACACCTGCTTGTAGAGGCCATGTATTTCAGTTGTTACAAACAAACTTTTGCAACGAAACTCAAGTTAAGACTAAATTTTAGAATGGAATGCAGTCAACTTTATAGGAATTTATTAAGGCCATTTCCGAGAAAATACTATTTACCTATCGGACAATAGGTAAGAAGCAATCAGCGCTAATTTCATGTGATAGGCATTTTCCAAAAAGTACACTTTAAGTAGAAGTCATTAGTATGCATTTGTCTTAGGATTTGTTAAGTTTGTTTATAAACATATTGCAATTATAGTGGTGGAATTTACAGAAATGTAAGAATATTTAGGTATTTGATGAGTGTGTTATATCTCGAAAACTGAAGCTGATACAAAGAGAAGGTTTGTATTTTTGTAATCAGCACAGATGAATTAACCAAAATCAGTTGATTTTTTTCGGCAACATGTTTTTTTTTTTGATGGGCTGTATAATCTAGTTCTTCTTATATCAGAAAAACAACTGTCTTCACGAATAACTGACAAAACTTCATTTAAAATGGGTATTTCGTTTTTTTATGCAAAAAGAGTGTACTGTTGTCCTAATAGATTTCTTGACTTCTTCGATAACCAATCACCTTTTTCCAGTGAATAATTTCGGCTCCAAAGAGCTGTTGTTTTCCTTGAGTTCCTCAAGAATTCTAAAAATTGTTGTTCTATTGACACCGGTCATACTCGCGAATGTTTGCACTACTTCCTCCTTATTTTTTATTTCGAGCGGATATTGTATTCTCAAAGAATTATAAACATTCATCATAACAAATGTTTTTTCATTTATATTTAATGCTGACGCTTCACGGTTCCCAAACAACTAGCTTCCATGTTTGATAGCTTTTTATTCAACGCGCTTTTGAAGTAAACTGAAGAATATCACTAAGACTAAGACTAACCCCTCTACCATGACCTTTGAACTCCCAACAGAAAAAGATGTAATTGATGGTTGCAGTGTGTCTGTTGACGGTATAATTCAAAGGAATATCTGTTTATACCACCTACAAAATAAAATTGTTTTTTCAATTTCTTTCTACTAAATACTTATTTGTTTGAGAATGTCTTCGAAACTACTGGACATATTTTGACATTTGTCATAGTTGATGTGTTATTTGATTTGAAAGCAGTACGCCTACGACGTAAAATTTATAGTTTCTTCCATTTCTGGACACACTATAATAAATTCCTGTACTGAAGTGCTAATAACCTTTTTTTCCTTCCTGGAATACTTTCATCAATCGAATGAATAATGTTCTATTCATGTGCTCTGATTTCTCTGATTGGGGTACACTGAAACTATTTTCTCCTTTAGACTGTAGCCATACAGTACCATTATTCCCAAACAATTTTTTAAACCTGCGGGAATTGTTAATAAGAATTATGTGGATTCATTTTCATGTTATTGTGATGAATCGATGGCACTGGAATGAAGCAACAGGTGAATAGATTTCACAGACATACTTATATAAGTATTTCATAGCAATGACTGTTATGGTGATATAACTTAAAGTGTTATCCATGTATTGAACTTCTTGGAATCATAAATTTTCATCACTATTTGTTGTATGTTCGGTGGAGTTTTTATTCACTGTTTATAGCAGTTTGAGATACAGAACATTTTTTTAAGATCAGTAAAGCAGTTAAGTATAAGCAATCATGACAAAGCATGCAAAACAGCGGCATGCGTTTATTATTTAGCATGCAATATTTTTTTATTATAGGCCAGTATTGAGTAGCTTAAACACCGGCTAGATACCTCGATGAAATTTGTGGTCGTGAATGAACACCGACTTTTTCCAGTGTAGTGATTCTAATAGCGATGGTGAACAATGTCAAAAAGAGATACCAATGAATAAGATTCGGATGCATTTGAATATTGAAACACAGAGAGTATATTTCAATGTATATAAGAATCTACATCTCAAGTTTGGTTTCGAGGGAAACAAACTATTACAAGCAACATCAGATTTGACCGAAATTCCTTTCTCAATTGTACGTAAAATAGTCAAAAACAAACCTTATGAACGCAAGATGCGATGTGATACAGGATTACTAAAACCTTTTGATGTTCATCTAAAAAAATTGTTAAAAAAAACAATATATGACTGTTACAAAAGCAATTATATTCCTACAACAGAAATCATAAGGGAGAAATTGAATACTTCCTGTCATAACGTGAGTTGCTGTGACAAAACTAGATTGGATAAAGAAACTAGGATTTAGATTTGAAATAATAAACAAATGTCATGCAGTTATGGGAAGCAGAAGAATAGTGGAATTGCATAACAAATACTCAGAACAAACAACTAAATATAGACAGGAACAACGGCAAATTTTGCATTTGGATGAAACTTGGTATGATACTCACGACACAGTTATGAAAGGGTGGACTGATGGTTCGAGAATGTGCACGCCTAACATGCCTGCAAACAAAGGATCGCGACTAATCATTGTGCACTGTGGAGGAAGTAAAGCATGAGTTCCAAATTCTTTGAAATTATGTGGAAAAAAACTTGAGGACTGTAATGTTGACTATCATAAGAACATGAAAGCTAATATTTTTGAGGAATGGTTTGAAAACACATTGATTTCAAATTTGGAGGCGAATAGTGTAATAGTTCTTGACAACGATTCCTATCATTCGCGACAGCTCATCAAAGTACCGAATAAAAATTCGAAGAAAGATGAAATACAAAGTTTTTTGATGGACAACAATTTGTAGTTTAAAGATGACCATACCAAAAACCAACTACTTGAAGTTTTACAGACAAAAATTTTAGAAAATTGTTGGAAGGTAGGTTGCACTATATCGTTTACTTGAACTATACCTGTCTCAAATACAATGTTTATCCCTTCTCGGTATTGGAAAGATAATGAAAAACCTACCTTATCGGTTGGGACACAAAGCCAGAGGAGTATTTTTCGTATTATGAGAATGATGCTTAATAACGCATGCCTCATTACATTTGTTCACTACAAATCATATTGACACTACAAATTACCAAGTAAATATTTTTTTTCGATCAGGAAACATTGAGCGGGGGCATTGAACTGAAATTCAAGGAATGTTTTGAGTGGTTGTCTGCTCGAAATAAAATAGAGTTGTCGAAATTCACGTTGAAAATATTCTTCGTCGATAGTCATCGCTCACTAATCGTTCTGAAAGAATTCCGTGCAATTATTGAAAAGAATGTCTGCCACGGAAAACGAAATCGTTTTAAAAATAAACACCTGACGTCACATATACAATCTATAGGCCATTTAAAAAAAGATCATAGTGAAGAGACTGGCATCCCACATTATTCATTATGGGAGAAAAATCCACAACATTCTCTGTAACCGGTTGGAATGTATCCAAAATCGCTTCCGGGGTCACACAATCAAAATTTCATCAGGTAGCCGGACTGTGAATGCGAAAACGTGCAGAATTTGAGGTTAGAACACCGCTAAGGTCAGGTTGAAAAGTAGGAGAAAGAGTGGTAAGCTAAAGCACGCTAAACATACTTTATTCGTGCTGTATCCATATCCCCGCAGAGGTGGTCATTGAACGCATCACAACAATCTTCCAGTACACTAATAAACATTTGAAAAGCGCGCTGTGTCTGAGATATCTCACTGAACAGTGCGGTTTCCAAGCCAAAGTCTCTCTTGCCCGGTAAGATCCAATTATAACACTAAGGTAGGGCTAGATTGTGACATTAAAAATGAGCTGAAGGGATCATTTATCGAGATCGCGAGGTTTATGATAAGGGTTACTCGCTAATTTCATATTTCGGTTATCAAAATTTGTGCATGGGGCGCTGCAGCAACGGACCCGACTCAACGAGCTGTCGTCACATACTGAGTTTCGCGTTCGGGAATACATTGTGTTCGGCCAGACATGATCCCGAACCGCGTTCGGACTGTCTCGTGCTTTAGCGGTGCGCGCTTCAGGATAGGCAACTGGCAGTTACGTAATGTCCCTTTATTATTTACCGAGGCTGAGAAAAACATTTAAATATAGACAAAATTGTTGGGTTAAGTTCCGGCAACAAAATGACGCATTGTTTGGTCATTGATTGATCTGTGGAGCGCGAATTAGCTTCGTTTTTTGTTGGATTTTAAGTATTGGACTCCACGATTTATGTCTGGTTCATACACCAAACAATTTCCTTAAGAAATATATCACAATGTAAATATATGGAAGCGTTCATACACCAACCTTTAAAGTAAAAGTGAACTGTATGAACCGGTGCTGAATATAAAAAAAATGATAATGAATATACCGGGATGTGTTTACAAAACTCTCGAATATGATAGTTGAGCAGTTCTTTAACAGAAATAGGGTGTCCAATGTAACAATGGCCACTTACAACTTTGTTTTTTCAATGCAAAATTCTGTATATCATTCAATTATTGGATTATTCAGAACATTCTCGATATATATGAAAAAAGTTTGATTGGGTAACAGGATCAATTTTTTTCTTGAAAAACACTTGTTTTCTTGCCAACTTTTCGAATTTTATAAAATTTTTCTTCAGCTCTCTCCGTGTTGATGACATTACCATTTTCAAAAACATCAGATATATTAGATGCATAAAAAAATAAAAAACATTGCAACAGAGACAACACCAACACAAAACGACGCAGTAAGCCATTACGCATCGCGTCTACTGTAAGACGACGGGGGACGATGCGCGGGGATAGAGGGGCGGTTTGAGCAATGAAACGCCATTGCCGAGAACGCGACCCAAACACGGGCAGACGCGTGAGGGCAGACGTCGTTGACGGTTGTGTTAATTATGCGAATTTTTTTATAGGTGAGTAACATAATTCGCATATCGAAGCTATTCATTACTCATGTAGTTTAGTTGGTATATTATTTTAGTTACTGTAATTTTAAAGTAAAAATATAAATCACTCTGAAGAAAGGTTAGTTGGGTAACGGGTTCAATTTCTTCTCAAAAAAACAATTATTTTTTTGCCGACGTTTCGAAGTTGATTAAATTCTTCTTCATGGATCGAAAAGTAGTTTTTTCGTGTTAATATTACTATTTTGAAAACCATTAGACATATTAGATTCATTTTAAAAAAATAAAAAACATCGGATCTTGAAATATGCAGGTAGGTTCTTTGTATAGCGTGATAAAGCATCAAGAAAGGGAATCAGGAATTTCCACCCCAAGGGGGGAAGGTAGGGGTTCAAAGATTGCACTGAGTTTCGTTAGTTTTGAAGTTATCGGTTAATGAAAAAATATTGTATACCGCAGTCGATGATAATACATGCATTATGTATGCGGATGATACTTCATTACTGGTATCTAATAAATGCGATATTTCCTTGGGGGAGGAGTGTGACACAAAATAATTCGGTCTCATAGTATTATTCTAACTCTCTATATTTCAGTTCTGTAAAAACCTTTTCTATTCGATATCACCGTCAACAAAAACTTGTTCTGACATAATCCCCAATTACTTTAAATGATACGCAAGCCTCCCGTTCCTTCTCATTCAATGTTGCTTCGAAGTTTGAATCGAACATCAATTTACGGATATCAGGTCAACTGAAGTTTCGTGTAGAATGTTTCTTATACCAGGTTCCGAAGTTTCCCTTAAGGGCCATTGTTTTTGAGACCAATGTTGATCCCTTGCTCTGCTGTTCCATTTACATATAAAACATTCCATTTCGTTATTGATTTTTATTATATATTGAACATTTTTTTTAGAAAATTGAGTTTTCATAAATTTTTTTCGAGCAGTCGCCCAAAATATCCATGTGCTTGGGTTTTTATGGTGATTCTTTTATTTTAATTTTTATTGATCATTCAAAACATCTTGGACTTGAACTAAATTTTGAAAAATGCGAGTTGATTACTCTTTCAACTCCAAATAATATTTCCGAATCCATCATTTTGAAATTGGCTCCTGGTATAAGAATTTTGGGTGCTCCTCTTTCTAAAGATTCAGTTTCAAAACATCTCCGAGAAAAACGGGAATCACTCAAATTGCTGACCACCAGATTGAATGAACTTCCAAAACACGTTGCATTTTTTATTTTGAAAAAGTTTTTGGCGATTTCAAAACTCATGTACGCCCTCAGGTGTTTCCCCACTTGGTCAAGTCAGTTAGGGCTTGACGAATTTGTTGATTCACTCCGCAACACGCGGAATATGTTACAAACATGGCTCCAAGCAACGCTTCCTGTAAACCTTGGCGAACTATGGCTACGTTTGGCTTCTTCCTTAGCTTTACCAGCTTTTCTGTCATCAGTCAATAGTGTTTCTGATCATATCGATTCCATCCTTCCTTCCATATTTATCAATATCAAAGATGTTTTTTATGCTGAAGGTGAATCACTTTGGCATGCCCAACTAATATTGCTTTTCCTACAGACAAAAAGAAAATACAAAGTGCATGGGAGGGACCGACCTTTTCTGAACATTTTTACTGATAACTTCTGAAATTTACTAGTGTATACGATAAGGCTTGTCTGAAAGTAGCAATGATCAAAGAATCGGGTGCCTGGCTCAATGATTCACGTGTTGCATCTCTTGGAACAATATAAGACGATGAATCTTTCAGAATAGCAGAAAGACTTAGGATGAGTTCATCTATATTTGTGCCTCATACTTGTGTTTGCAGTAGTATAGTTGATGAGAAAGGTACACATGGTTTGAGTTGCAGAAGAAGTGCAGGGCATCATCTCGACATCACCAAGTGAACGACATATCGAAACGAGCTATGTTCTCAGCGGATATTCCTGAATTCTGGAAACCTTAGGTGACAGTCAAAATTATGGTAAACGAACAGATATATGTCTCTCATACCATGGAAATACGGTGAACCTGTGGTATGGGACTTCACTTGCGTTGACACGGACGTGGCTGCTGGAACCGCAGCACTATCTGGCGAAAAATTGAAAAGAAAAAAATACCAAAATCTTGGTAACAACTATCTGTTTCATCCAGTAGCGGTTGAAACTTTTGATGATTATGGACTGGAGTCTCCGTTATTCGTTAATGAACACGAAAAAGGAGAATAGGCCAAGCAACGAAAGATCATCATTCTACCTCTTTTTTGATAGAAATAATTAGTGATACTATTCAACGTGGAAATGCTGCTCCGGTCCTTGGAGCTATTCCACCTTCACATGATTTTGATGAGACCATGCATTGCCCTAATTTCAGTACGGAACTGTAATCTCTTCGAAACAAGCCAAGATATGTGGATATTCATCAGTCTTCTATCAAGGTTAATTCACAAGTGATTGATCCACATTTTTCTTCAAGGCGGTGAACGGACCCCCAAATATGAGTTGCTGTCCTAGTGGTTGTGGTTCCCTTTCAGTGGAAGAGCTTCATGAAGCAAGAGCCGAATCGATCCCTCTATTATAATCACTATTATAATGTCCATACAGTCATTGTTAACTATGGTTCTGGCGTTGAATTTGATCATTATTACGCGTTGGTCAAAGACGAAACTGACTGGTTTGAATTTGACGATGATCGTGTCAATGAATATGCTGGCAATATCTTGAATTCATTAAAGCCTTTGGAGACACCTTGCATTTCATTTTATGAGGGAGAGGACATTGGCAGATCAAGATCTTCAGATGATGTTGTGCTGCAGGTGTTTCCTGGTTTTCCTGCAGCTGAAAAAGCAAATGCGCCACTAGAATAAATAAAGTCGCCCCGGAGCGCAAATTAATTTTTATTGTTGCTACATTGTTTCACAAATAGTGTAAAAATTGATACTTCTGGGATTTATCAATTGTGAAATTGAATATTTTCACTTATCATTTCAGTATTTTCTAATCGCATATCATTGAAATGGTCGAACGGAAGTTCATTGCCGAATAAAGATGAATATTTGAAACAACACCGCTTGAGATGTTTCGAGTAGGTACTCATCATTAACACCCTTATGGATCAAGACAAGTAACTCGGGCCCAAGTGGTTTCCCTTCTGGACTATATTCAAGACCTCTACCATTGTCAATGAGAGAGTTACTCCGAACACATTTTTTTGGCCGAGGCAATTAATTCTGTTCTGGGATTTCGGCCAGGTACTATTTCTCATTCTGGGGTTTCCAACGAGAACTAAACCCGCTATAGAGTCTCCTCGCTTATCGAGAAAATACTTAGCGTTAGTTCCTCGAGGTTACCTTGTAATTTTCTTTTTCGTGTTTTGTTTGTCGTTGTGTTTTGTTGTTAATGAATTTTGTTGTTGATGAACGCTGTGTTCGTCTAAATAATAATTCACATATGTGAATGTGAGCGGTGAGGCATATGTTCTCTTTTATGAACAGGAGGGAACGAAGCAGCACCTTTGATATGATTTTTTTTATAATCTTAGTTCTTTGAATTGATTTCTGTTTCATGATTGTTCCAAATTTCATTATTTATTGTAATATTAAAGTTTAACTCGTCGTATTTCAGGAACAGTGGCTCTAAGAAAAAAAAAATAAAAAATTCACATATCACCAGTCTTGACAATGGAAACTTTCTGAATCCTTCGTATGAATTGAATGTACCACAGGCACTGAGACATTAGTATTTTCGTTATTTGTTAACACACCTTTTAGTTTGTCTCTGATGAGTCAATAAAACGTGTCCATTCTGCTTTTTTTGTGAGTATTCAATACTAAATTCATTTATTTGACTGTCAATATCATGGCAGTATACTCTGGTTTCTAAATAAAGTCACTATTTGTGTCAGTGTATTAACTTCCACAGACCTGAAATAAATTCCCTAGTTTAGGAGAGGTCCCTTGTGGGAGTTTCGAGTACATATACCTCTTCTATATAGGTCATGTCTATCTCGAGACTTGAAC